GTCCGATCCTCGTGAAACATGTTAGAATCTTTGTCGATACTTTCTGTATATATCGTTTCTTTAAATAAATAAATAGTCTTCGCTATTATATTTAAATTTCAATTACCTTCTGCATATTATTATCTTAATCATGAACCTCAATATGTTGTAAAATAATTAATTAACTATTGCACTGTTTTTACTACATTTTATACATACAATTCATATAAATATTTTATTCATATAAATATTTTATTATTTTTAATATATGCTTAAATATTAAAGAATCAACTATCTTAATGTCTCAATATCAATTAAAAAACCGTATAAATATTTTTTTTGGATTAGTAGTTTTTTGAAAATTTTTCAAGTTCTAGAAGTAATAGGGATTCAAGGCGATTCTTGAAGAATCGCGTGACAGGCTAGCATCCGTGAATCCTCGAGGAAAACTCGTACATGTTGGTGTGCATGTAACCGAAAGGCACATATATGTACAGTTCCAAGATCTATCGTTGCGTACAGGAACGCATGCTACGTACTCGCCGACGGTGCGAATCGTCACGAATGCAAGTATGTACAACGAAAGCTAGAAACCAACCGCGGGGAATCACGCGACATATGGTGTTCCTGAGGTTAACTTCCTCTCATGTTCACGTTCATTTTATTAATTCCATCAAAAATTCGTAGAAAGAAAACTCGCCGCATCGCGAAATTGCTTGCCAATTATTCACTATCATGACACTTTATTGCGTTCTTTGCACGCGGTTCCTTTGCACCATTGGATACACAAGATGCGTCTTCAATTTTTTATCGAATTTTATTTCCCTTCCCCGGTGCCATTCTCACACGGCATATCAAAAATTTCCTTTATATGCTTTACATTTTTTATCAATAAAAATACATATATTTGCATTGTTGCCGTTATATTCATTAATATGGCGTTTAAAGAAAAATTTGTTATGATATGTTTATTTTTATGTATATTTTAATACTCACGTAATAAAACATCAAAAGCGAATTTAACGTTGCTGCATCATTGCTAGAATGTTTTAAAACATTTCTTGCTTTTTGGAACGTATTGTGTAGCATCGAAGAGTTGATAGAATTGTTGTAAATGTAGATGAAAATTTTACCAATTTTGCAATAAAGAATGAATTTCGATACTATGTTTGTTAAAGAATAGAGATATTAAATCAAATGTGTACATCGTACATATGTAAAATAATAAGCTTTACTGAGAAAAAATGATTAAAGGCTATACATCGGGCAATTTTATTGCATTTTTTGTTCACTCTTAGTTTTACTCACGGGGTATAGTTTTCTTCGAAATGACATGCAAATGCAATAGGTATCCAAGGCGAGTCTGGCGAGTTTTTCAGGGCGTTACCCTCAGAAATTCTGGTCGGTTGGTTGGTCGATGCAGAACGTCGAGGGCGGTGCATCTGTCGGCGGAAGATTTATATCCTGAGGCCGAGGTTACTTCTACCCATTCCCAACTCGCGGTCGTGCTGGGCAAAAAGCCAAACTTCGTTTTGGAATTCGTAAATTGACGTCTTAAAAAAAATTGTTTCTTACATTATGAATTAAAATGTTCTAACAGGTTTACTTGTATTTACGCGTACTATCTCATAGTCGAAGTATTAAGTCAGTAAATATATACATTTATTGCAGTCTGCTATAGTTATATATTATTGCAGTCAATGTATATATTTACTAAAATTAAGACTTTAACTCTAATATATAATTATTTAAGTTCAACTAGTTATAACTCGGATAACCAGTAATACTAATTATAACTCAAAATAAAGCTAACAATATAAATAGGATGAAATCATGTTTACTTGCATACGCAAAACATGTACGAGAATGTTTTTAACAATTAAATGGAAACCTATAAGAACATCTATTAGCAAATTGGACGACAGTCTTTGTTCATTACGATTTCAGGAAAGTAATTAACTAGCACTCAATTAATTATATATTTACGGCTATCGTTTTGTAGCACGCGAAACATGACGTCATATTTTAATACTTTGTGGATCACATGATAGAGATTCGAATGCAGATACGGTGTTATAAAATTAAATATGGTTTAATGTCGATATTAGTACATAATTCTTATGCTAAATAGTAAGAAAAATAATAAATGCAAAAATTCGTATGTTAATTGTATGCAATGAATTATTAATCTATTCTTATACACTAAACAAGTATTTCATAAATCATATAAATTGATGAGCTTATATAAGGCAAAGTGAATAAATTAAAAAATACGCAATTAAAGAACACAACGTGCGCGCAATATTATATATTCATAAGAAATAATAATTATGATTTGAGGAGGAGTTGAAATCCAATGATCCCGCTGATCCTTTCTGCAGTATGCGAACACCGGCATTAACATTACCACGGCGCGTTTCAAAATGGAGGATTCCGGCTCGGCGAGAAAACGATACGATGCGCGGCGCGATTATAACTCGGCCGCGAGGGCCGTCGGGTCTATCAAAACTCGCTCGGCTATATATCAATGCCATCTATACGTATAATTTTGATGTCGACTGGCTCTTGGTTTTATTTGCCACGCGTAAAAGTGAAGGCGTACGCGCTGCAATGCGAGATTTGATGTTAGGTAGATGTAGCACTGCACTTTGTTCCATTCTTTTATATATCGATTCAGTCCTATCGAGGTGATGGAATAGACATACCAAAGAAAGCCTTTGGTTTGTAACTCGTTATTATTGTTCAATACATCAACACATGAAGAAAAAGAAAATTAATGATTATTGATTATCTGTCTAAGTTATCTAACTATCTACTGTTAGATATCAAAAGTGCAATAGTAACCCAGTTTTTTAAGTTAAATAACATTGCTATATTTAACTTCTATGTGTGTCAAAATGTAAATCAATCTATTTCTGTAGTTGAATTGCTTAGTAAATGACGTCCATATTAATATATATGCACTGGTAAATAAGAAACTAAAGTTTAAGTTAAATTAAATACATTTCTTAAGTTAAACTGTTTTATCTCATTGTTGTAGTTAATTAAAAGACATATTGAGAATAGGAGCAATGATCTACAGAAATTTTTAAAAATAACTCAGATTGAATATAATTTGACATTATGAATTTAACGATACTTAAAATCAATAACTTATGATTATATGTGAGAAATACTTACATTATATTTACATCTGTTACATTTCATGTTCGCATACAGACATAGCGATTTGTCGTCAAATTGCTATATTTTACAATCCAACGACCATCATTATTATACAGTTTAACTAACTGGAAGCTGATTAACTAAACATAAAAAATACATAGCGCATGATCGAAGAAGAGCACTATTGGCACTTAAATGATATAGTGTTACATGAAAGTAATAAATGTCACATTGTGATTTAATGTTAATGCCCTGTTATTTTGATCACTTAATATAATAACTGTCGCTGTATTACAAGTTATAAAGATATAAGCAGTACAGTGTCAATTGGTATATCTTTTTATTGACTTTTATTTGTCGAAATATTATATCTTTTGCCACTTTGATAAAATCAAATTTATACAGTCGTGTGTACCTAACACTTCGAAGAACTGCACTATGAAGATATAAATAGCACATGTCAATTTTTAGATTTCCTCTTGCTATGATTTTTATTTGCACATCAAAATGTAGTTTATTAATTTCTTGACATTTTTACTCTGGTAACATCAAATTTATATGGTCACGTATATCCAACTTTTTGAAGAAACGTCATAATTTTTTTATAGGAGTCTCTTTATAAGAGTAAATTTTTAAGTAAAGTTCAATTTTTTTATGTCATTGTGACTATAGTCATGACGTTCGTAGAATACAACGCATATAAGTTTCAACAATTCTATCCCGCCATTTTGTAAGGTTTCGAAGGACCAGGGCGCGGGCGAAGATGCCCATACACCACGCGTTCTTCTTGCGCCGAGATCGGTAATAACCCAATAAATCAGGGTACCCCAGCCGGTGCAATTACGTTCCGTGGCTGAACCCAACCCCTCTCGTAAATATTGCCCTCTGCGCACCGACATAGCATCTTCGCCAGGTCCACCGTCGTTTCTTTCTCTCTCAGTTTTCACTTCTTTTTTTTACAACGGTCTCACGACCCCGCCGCAACGCAGGGGATCTTTCTCGTGTGCATTACACCGCACTGGGGTTGTCGACGATACTCGTGCCTCATCCCCCTTGCGAGCATCTCGTTCGTGTTCTTTTATTACCGTCCGCCGTTCTCTTCCCGCATGCGGACACTATAGAGGAACCATGGGAACCATCGTGCCATGGAGTGTTCGAATCCTTTTGGGGGGTTTAATTGCCACTGTGCGATCTGTTAATTCGCGAGTGTCAGCTTGAGAAAGCGAACCGAGAAGCGAGAGGGAGGATTTATCTTTCCACCGTCGACAGCATCGACGTGAAGATTCTACTGAGTGCGTGTTCGTGAAAATATGGGGGTCGAAACGCGATGGACAAGAATGTGTCTGGGCCCTATGAGTGATCCGTAGAAAAGCAAGATAGCGAGAGAATTGAGATGGTTTTATTATACAGTATGTTAAATAAAAAGGAATCAATATAAATCAAAACTAAGATCATTGACAACATATTGCTATATCTGTGTTTAGCAAAATTTATTTTACTGTTGAGTTTTTTTTTACTGAGATTAGGATTGTTGCTGTCTAAAAATATAAGTCATCAACACAATAAGCAATCAGCACGAAAAAAGAAAACTTTAAACATTTGTAAAATAAATGTTCTGTTGAACGTGATCAATTTCCTAAAATATTTCGTTGTTTGAGATTAAACTAATCGCCAAATACTTAATTATTAAAGTATTAATAATAAATAATGTACTTACAATATTAATATACATATTTATCATATTTTCTTAAAATTATATTAAGAAATGGTTTGAATCTTTTAAATTTATTTTTCACCTCTTTCTAACAATGACTTCGTCAGATGCAGTTCTGATGAACATTTGCACAATTATCTTTCAGGGTGGAGGAAGAACTACGAGAAGGGTCTTACTTATGGCGTTTTCTGAAAATTGTCGCCAACATGCGATGCCGTGCACGCTCCACACATGGCATATGACAGGTATGCCATCACAGAAACGCAATTCTATCAATTTCGTCATTCTCGAAGGGGCAGAAGATGCGCGTTCGTTACTTTTGACAGCTGGCCCACATTATTACGCCAATAATACATCATCGTCGCGCAACGATCTGTTTGTTAGGATGTTCATGACGAAGTACATTAAGTAGGTAAGCGTAAAAACGACACGAGGCAAATTACATCATTTGGTGGCACTGAAATTTGCACGAAAAAGATGAATGGCTGACTAATGTCGCAAACGATGTAGCCGAAATGGTCTGTATTGCTCCATAATTGAGACAATTGAGCACCATACGACACGCGAGTGTCGTAAATAACACGACAGTTTCAGCTTATAGTACAAGTTGGAAAGGTGTGGATAGACACTCTAAATACCGCAAAACTTGCGTAACCCTTTAGTTTTACACGAATTAGCTGCTTTGCTTTATTATCTCTAGGCTTGCTAAGACGATTGGAGCGTTATGTATACATTTGTTTGATAATGTCAAGAACTTTTGCAATATTGTAATCCCTTCATAGTTAATATCACGCAAACAATATACAGTAAGAACTCTGGACGATTGTTGACGGAATGAAAGTGACATTATCGTTTCAATGACAATCGTCGTTCTCGATCATTGTTCTTGCCTCAAGGATATCTTCGTAATATTTCTAGTTTATTATGCTAATCTCTGAGATTTTTATATTTATACATTTGTTAATCAAAGTTTTTTTTATCATTTGTATATTTATTTTATATACACATTTTGCTGCTGTTGCATTTTGTTGCTGATTGCAATAAATCCCTTTGTTACAGAATAGGCACATATTTTTTTTATCGTTGCGAATAGCTGTTGAGAAAATGGAATAGTAATGGTATGCCTTTCTAGAACGCTTTAGTTCGCCATCGGCATTTTGGCGTTAGGCGATAAATCTCGAGGTGAGTGGGCTTTAGAAGCCCTCGCCGTGTTAGAAAAGAAGAAAGTAAAATGCGAAAACGAGGGAATGCGCGCTGCCAATAGATTTACGAGGCCATCCATCTTCGTAGTACGCACTTGATGCTCACGCTCGCGATAAAAGCACAGCTCATCTACGCGTATATACATGTGCGTTTGTGCGCACGACACGTATACATATGTACGTACGATTCTAGAGGAACGGTTCGTTATTATAACCCACGAGGCGTAATTGTTTCCAAGGAACCGACATGGAGAAGACCTTGCCTGAGAACCAGAGATATTAGCAGTCTTTCTACAGGACCTTTCAATAATAATGCCAGTAGTCACGATCACTTTGCTTCATTCTAATTTGTAGCAGCAAGAAAGAACTACGAACTAGAATTTGCATCAATATTATGATTGTAAAGTGCCGGTATATAAAAAGGATGACTGTAAAAAAAAAAGCATAATTATAAGATATATTATAAGATATGTACTTATAGAAATAAACCTGAAAATTATTGATCTAATTCGTGCTTAGCTACTTTTATTTTTGTTAAGCTTAAAAGCTCAATCTTAATTTTTAAAATTATGAAAGAAACGCAAGGATAAAGTTGAGCAAAACGAATTAAAATGATTGATTAATTGACTTACTTAAACTCTCATTCATCTTTTAGCGCTTATTTAACTTGTTTAACTTATCAAAATGTACAAGGAAGTATGTTAATATGAGCTGTAATGTAAATTCGACGAAGTTATAGCCACGAAATGTTAACTTAGTTATATTTACATGATAGCAAGTACTATATTAATATAACAGAGTGATAACACAATGGCATGTGAGCTTCATAGAATTTTGTTAAATTTAAATTTGGAAAGTTGCAAATACACGTGATGACTCTGACGGCACCGATATCGGTGAGATCTTGCTTGAAAATGTCGTGATATTAGTTGCTTCCGCGGGAAGTTCGAATGATAGTGCTGTTAGTCACGACTACCTCGGTCGATTGTAATCTAGCGAGCTCGAAGAAAGCCCATAGTCGTATTTTTATCAGTGATCATGCAAAGTTGCCTTTTTTAGAAGCGTGCAGCGTCGAAAACCTTAAATTTTATCAGCGGCTTATTCGAACTTCATGTAAGGTAATAACGCTGAAAGTAATGAAATGAAATAGGCGATCTGTGAAATTAAATTATTAGAAACACGCCAAGCAAACGATGATGTTAACATGTCTGATTGAATTTGTTCCCCGTTGAGATGGAATGATATATTAAATTACGAAATTCGAGATAAATCAGCAGCAATTAATTTTATTTGCTTCCAGATTTACCCCGCGCGATGAAGATTAAAAGGATCCACAAGTCTTAAGATCACAGCTGGAAGATTATCCTTGGAAGAGCTTTTTCCTGTAATGATGGCGATTATATAATTAATCGAATAATATGCAAATTTCTTCGTAATGATATCCGCCGGACTATTAATCAAATTCTAGATTATCAGTTTCCATCACGAAAAGATGAAGAAAAATTCAATTAATTGCGTAATATTATGCATTCGGAAAGTATATTATTATACATTCCGAACGAATGTCATCATGCAATTGATGATTTTTTAATAGACGAAAATATATTAATAAAATAATGTTTGTAGAAATATGTTCATACTATATGAGAAGATTTAAAGCTATCGAACATGATCCAACGTAATATAAAACGTAATATAAAAGTAAGTCACGAATCTTTCTAGCTTTTCCTCGTTTATTATTTTCTCGGATATTAGATAATTTCAGAAACTGTTCAGAAACTTTTCTTTCGGTGCAGATTACATCCCTGTAGATATAATTTTTTCACATCTCATGGTGCGAGATATGAGCGCAAATCAATAGCCTACGCGTGAAATTTTTTACGCATTTCGCAATGTTCTCGCGTGTTACGAGAAAATAGCGGAGATACGTATGTTAGCGGAGAAGGGAGGAGGGAGGAAAGAAAAAAAATGATTTTTTTTAGAACGCGAACCCGGAATGGCGCCGGCGGTCCGGTTTAATCTCGACACGCCCATTACACACGACGTACATATTACATCACGATCGCATTCGATAGCAAGCGTATCTATACGAGCCCTATTCCCCTGTGCCTACCTACGATACGTGTAAGCCGCAATTAAAATTCAAGAAAAATTCTCGGAAACCTGTTTCGAGAGCGAGCGAAATATTTCGCTGCGGGGTGGTCACGCAGGAACGCTAATAGCACGGATGATCTCGTTTAATTATCCTCAGCTCTTAAACATTTTCTCTCGAAATTTTTGTCATCCACTATATTTGATATTCTCTACTATCGTGGTCAATTATTCCGCGTAAGATTTGGATATTTCAACATCTTGTTAGGAGTAGACTTGTGACCAAAACAACTTTAATTATAATATATAATGTATATAACTAATTTATCTGATTTTATCTTCATTATTTTATTTTATCAGGTCAGTATTCATAATCGATTCTTATATTTAAGACCGTCTTAAGTATAGTGTTAAGATTATAAACCAATCACAGAACCATATTAACGTATTAAGATATTACTTAAGGCTATTTTAAAATAAGAACGGAATATGA